CTATTGAGGAGGAAAACGGAAACTAAGAAAAAGCGTGGACGGGTCAACTTATTAGTGTAACATTGGAAGTTAATGGACGGTTCAGTTTTAACAGGTCATTTCTTTTTCGTTTAGCTGGGCATTTACGCACTGCAATTATTTCAGCTGATACAATATAGGTACCCTATCTAAGGATCGCACCGGGAGCACAATGCCAACAGGAACAAAAATGATGCCCTATTTAAGGATTGAGAACCTCAAAAATCATGCTCATCACGCTATATAGTCCACGTATCAATGCGCTAAAGACTTCTTTATTTGAAGGTGCAGTATTTTCAGTAAAAAGCTGTTGTAGAAAAGCGCGTATGTGAAGTGGAACTAAAGCATATAGAAGTACTATGTCGAACAGACTTTTATCTTAGCTCAATCTCAGAGCCCGCGGGTTTCCGCGGTCACTGTTTCTTGGTGCTGACCAGAGGGATCACGGCCTCTGGGATTGAACTTGGCTCGGATCACGAGACACCGCTAAAACACTGTACTTGTCTGTACATGAGGATCATGACGTGACTTTTTCACCACGAAAACGTGCTGTGTTTCTGTTGCTGTGTCCAGTTTTATCATCACGCGTATTACGGAGAAACATAATATAGTAATAATATACGGAAAAGCCGGTTCACACAAAAGCGTGCATATTCGGACCCCATTCGGACATCAGATCTCACGCTACGAGAAACACACCCTAATTTAGTGTGTTAGTCTACAAAGAAACAATAGCGTCAACAACATTTTATTCGTGCTCATTCAGGACTGCTTGCATTGCGCTGTGCAAAAACAGTTCAGTTATACTGAGTACATTGTTAATTTCTCGTGACTGTTACTGAAAAAATGCACGTTAAAGATCATAAGAGATTATAATTTTCGTCTATTATTTCCGCAAGATCACTTTTCAAGCACGTATCTAACACACCAAAAAGCAATTTCAAGACTGATCGCAAATCTATTCAGTCTATTCTTACCCTGCAGCTGAAGGGTGACCCGAAGTGGAATAACAGCTCTCCGCGGTGTACGAGATTTAGTGAGGTAACTAACTGAGAAAGTTATAATCTTTGAGTGACTTAGATCGTTACATCAATTACAGTAGTTTATAACTTTTCACCCAGGACTTCTAAAAATTTCAGCGGCAGTACATAGGGAGAGGAAGATTACATAATCGTTCAACTTAAGAAACTAAGAAATGACAATCTACAACTTTTAACAGCTACCTAGAAAGTAGTTCATTGAGGCTTAATAGATGCAAGACAGAAAAGCACTTGTTTTGAGTTATAGCCTACTGATACAGTTCAGTTTGTGGCCTCATGTTCCACTCACGAAGGGACGAAGAGGATGAGTGAGTGAGTGAGTGATACAGTTCAGAAGTAACAACCCAGGCAGCCAAAATCAAGAAAGTACGAGGGTCATTTTTGGTCTCACTGGGCCGTTCCCTGGCTTTGAACTGGAAATCCCCGAAACACGCGCGAACCGACGCGCAATCGAGGGAACTCGACGCGAGCACTGCCGGTGTGGACAACGTGCTGAATTTGCGTGCTCTTCGTCACCGACAAAATTTCTTCGTTGTAACTTCGTTCTATCGCTAACATTCTGGCACGGTTTTCAGAATGTTTCATGGGGCGTTTTAAAAGAGTGAATTCCTTTTCCTTTCAGACAGAAGTGGGACTGAAGTAAACGAAGCAGAAAGATGAAGTTTTTGGTTGTTTGTCTTGCCTCGTGTATGATTCCACACTTGGTGTTTTCCACTGCACAGTCGGTGAGGCTTTAGCTTTAAGTTTTCATTCCGTAACAATACCATTAAATAAAGTTATTTGCCCAGAAAACCAACTATATTATTCGCATTTTTGCTTTTCCGCCTTTTCATCTGGTACCATAACTTTTCTTTGTGTTGTTTCTCGTTTTTCCGGTTTTACCACTTTATTGGGTTACGCAATGAATGTTTGATCGCAGGCAAAAATCATCGTCTCTTGTCGTAGGATATAGTTAGGAATAGGTCTTGTTGTACCAAATGTTATCGAAGTAAGAAATTAGTTTGCCGAATAAAGAAAACTAATCCAACAGCTTCATTCGAGAGGAACCTAATCCGCAAACGATATTAACACATCTCGGTGTTGAGATTTGCAGTGGACGATATGGTGGGCAATAGAGGGGATCTTTATTATATGCCACTATACGTGGATATAAAACTGTGAGCTTTTTCTCAAACAGCAAACTAAAAGTCTCTCTTTTAGTTTTATTCTCAGGATAAGACCCAGTCCCCGTCGTCCGTCCAATGCTCGACATGTTGTAGTGCTGGCGTACCGGGTGTCCCTGGGGTGCCCGGGATACACGGAAGAGATGGGACCAAGGGCGCCCGAGGGCCTGTGGGCCCCCCCGGCAAAGTGGGACCTAAAGGTCCTGAAGGGTCCAAGGGCGAAAAGGGTACCCAGACCTCTCAGAAACAATGTGCGTGGAGCAATCTTAGTGATGGAAGAGACTATGGACTGATAAACTGAAGGTAATAAAATAGCAGTCAAAAATTAGAAAACTGCGACTTGATATCTATCTGATTATCTAAATTTCAGGAGAATATCTAAGCTTCAGGCGTCCACTAAACGTTCCAAGGTTTATTCCTGAGCCGGTCATCCATGAACTCTTCAGATTCCAGGCGCAGATAATACGATCACGCACTCTTTATATTTATTTCAGAGCCTGAATTCTTAAGTAGGTCATCCATACGCGCATTAGGTTCTAGACGCATATAAAATATACTATCACGCCCTCTTGCTACAGACACCGACTTTTGGTAAGTGAAGGATAAAGTAATGTAGTATTATGAAATAAAAAACCTCTGTTTTTAGTCACTGTTTATAACGTGATCTATGTTTTTAGGATTGCGTTTTTACCAAGCAGTCCCATAATACAGCTTTGAAAGTGGAATACAATGGTGACCTCCGGATAGCTTTCTGTCTGGATTGCTGTAAGCGCTGGTATTTCACCTTCAACGGTACAGAATGTAACGGTCCGCTTGCCATTGATGGTCTTGTTCACATTGCTTCAAACCACGGCAAAACAGACACCAACATACACAGGGTGCATCACATTGCAGGTTATTGCCAGGGAATTTCTGCAGGAACCGTCCGAGTGGGGATAAATGTGGGGGACTGTGTGGGGAAGAAATCCGGGTCTGATGCCTATACCGGGTGGAACTCCGTGATGCGGATCATGATCGAGGAGGTTCCTGCACCCCAGAAGTAGTTCAAAGACAACGCAGAAAAAAGGATCGAAAACCCTGATTAGCTTAAGTACCCTAAGTACCAGTGGGATGCGTCTCGCGGGATCGGCTGACCGAAACGGGAAACCGCGTATGAAAGCCTCTGGTGCCCAGGGCACTACTAACTTGTTTACAATAGAATTTTCACAGATAATTCCATAAACTTGCTTCCTTGAATTTGATACGGGATATAGCTGTGCAATAAACCAGGGGATTCGTGCTTGAGCGATTAAAAACCTTTGAACATTGAATCAGGTTTTATTGTTGTGCCTGTTACCGTGAAAACACCGTAGAAAGTGACTCTCGTGGGTTCAGTGCTTGAGTCATCCTTATTGTCGATCTCTCCCAAATTCTATCGGCTGCAATGTACCCCATTTTATCCAAGGCAGTTTTAAAGAATTAAATTTTTTTCTCCAGTAAGGAGCCTTAAGGTAGGAACTAAAGAAAACGTTCTTTTTTACCGATAAAGGAACTAATATCCCATGCCATTACTACTTAAGGCCAGATTATCTTATAAAACCATACCCCACCAGCCTAGCATTCTCCGCATGTACACGAACTCGACTTCACGAAATGAGAGCAATACGCGGGACCAATCCCTTCCTGAGAGATATAGGAGCCGAAGTACCAACATACAGCAGTCAAGCAGAGGACGAAAAATCGTGACTGTATGCATATGAGCGCGTAAAACGTTACCCTGAGCCAGCCAGAATGTTGTAGTTAAATCATTGAGTATTTTTTGTGTAAAAAAACAAAACAAAACAAAACAAAACAATGTGATGAGTAAATGGACGAGATGAGTAAATGGTGGGCGATGTATGTCAAACCAATCAGATTAGAGCTACTATAAACAACCAATTAAATCGTCCGGATGTGCTGACATTTGTTAACGTCAGCTAATGTTATTCAGGAGTTCTTCTTTAAGTATATTTTTGTTCTTCCCTTTGGCACTCCAAGGTGTTATAGACCGGAAGGCTAAATCAGAGGCGACTATGAAAAAATAATGTTATACAAAATACTTTTCACAATTGTTTATGTTTCGCTCAAAGAGGCATTAAACTTAAAAAAAAAAATGAAACTTTGTCTTTATCCCTAATTCTAGGAACCGGTTCCAGGCTGGTAAATATTAAGAATCACAGAAGAGCTTTTTTCCCAGACCTGAATCGAACTAAGGAAATTGTTTCTAAGTTAAATTACCTCCGGCGAATAACCCACCAACTATCGAGGGTTTGACAGTTGAGTTCTCTGACTGTATCAGGTTTTACTGACAAATGAAAGAAAACCGGTTGAAATTATAAATCAGGTACCTACACCGTCTTTCTTTAAAATAACAAAGGAAACGTTATTAGAAAGGACTTCTAGAAAATCTACCAGAAGACAAAAGAGTAACAAAGAAGACAAAGAAATTTTGTTAGATCTTTCCCGCCAACTCGCCGAAACCCAGGAAGCCCGGGTACGAGTACCCAGGTTCTGACGACCGCGTAGTACATTCTGATGCACGAAGCTGTTTTGTTCCTTGTAATTTTGTTTTCATATTTAATCTTTTCCTTTTTCACGTTAGTATAACACTCTCTAAAAGCTTCTTTATTTACGAGAATTTTTGATATGGTGGTTAAGCGATGCCCAAGCTGTGATCAAACGGTAAGTGTCAAATGTGAATTGTATTCGAAATGGTAGAACCAGCAACAAGCAACGCGGTTTGTAAATCTTCTGGTATTTCTGTTCATTTGTTGGATTGCGTTGCCTGTTAGATTATATTTTCAGATCTTTCACTCAATCCAAATTCAGTCTTTAGGAAACGAGTCATTAAACGTTCTCTATTACTGAACTTATTTTTTTATAATTTTTGTTGTTGAGATATATAACGACCACGATGCCTGCATGTTTACAAGTTTCAGAAATATTAAATTCACTACAGTTTTAATTTTGTTAAGTTCAACTCGTCCTTGTCTCTTCCTCTTCCCAGTGTACCTGTTTATTTTAAAATGCCTGAGATATATGGACGCAAATTATGCGCTGATATAGTCGCGTAACTTCAAATACTTTAATTTTTAAGTTAAATAAGCTAATTTATCGCTTTTTATTGAGTTTAAGCTTATATTTACGTAAATTAATTTAGACCTTTTTGGCGATTTTAGATGAAGTTACAAATATTCTAGCTTATTTCAGATTTTGTACCGCCGAAGTTAAGTTTTTTAATTATTTTGGATGCATTTAATACATCAATTAAATTAAATGACATAATTTACTTATATTCGTGTCATATAGCTTGTATGTAGTCTCATGTATCATCCAATATTTAGTTTTTGGATCACAATCAATCCTGTTATTAAATCTTTTTGCCTTCAGATTCATTTTTCTTACTAATTTTTCCACTGATAACCAGAATCTTGCATCCAATTTAAGTCAAATAGGAGGTTTAATCAACTTAGGTTGTTACATACAATATCATCATTTGATGCATATTTTTTTCTTCCTGTTTACCTGCAAATAACTACTTAAAAATAATAGTGTATGCATAACACTGTCTAAATGTGTCTTGTTACAAATTATATTCGTAATAAAAGTCATGCATATGGTAGTTGTAGCCATGCTCTTGTGTGAAAAATGGCAGATCACTTCTCTGAGCAATCAGAGAGCGATTTAAATGTGAACAATAACATAATTATTGATTATTAGTTGTCATAAAATATCGTAATTTGTTATTGCCTTGCAGACCAGTTATTTGCCCCAGCCTTTGGCTTTGACAAATAAAAATTATTGATCTGCTTGCTGCGACAAATCACGATATTCTAGTCAACCTTGTCCAATAATTGTTCATTATTTTTACAGCAGATTCAGAAGTGTCATTGTTGTCAATTGTGAGCCATTTGTCAGACTAAGAGGGCTGTATATATTTCCTAATTTCTGGCCATTTGATTTCACCACCTGTTAACTCAAAGTCCAGATAAATAGGCCTTCTGTTGATTTTCTTTACAGGTTCAAGTTATTGGGAGTCAACTTACTGTTAGTAACAAAGAATTGCATTAATTAGAGCATTTTAACTATAAAATAGGGCAGTAGAGGTTGACATTGTCATAATATTGCTAAGAGAAAACATTTTCACTTCCAGGTTATTTTAATTATTAATTACTGGTTATGTGTGAGTCTAGAAATTATCTATACCCAACTCATGGAATCCGCTATCTGGATTTGTTGTCGGTAGCCCTGAGTTCAACTCCTTGACTGCGTTGTGTAAATAGCCAACTGGTCAGCCTCCAACCAGTTGGGATTCTTAATAGTTTATGTTATATTTGAAATATTTGTCTATTTATTTACAGTGTCCCCAATTAGCACATTAGTGCTAAATACATGGACACTTAAATAAAGTGATGATGATGATGATGATAATGATGATGATGATTCTGAGAGGGGTGGGGAGACTCAAAAGCTGCATATTTTAGAGGAGTATATATATGAAGCTAGACTGGAAGTTTTTGAGTGGTAGGAACAGGGGTCAGACCAGATAAACCTCTATGGGGAGGGGTATGGATATTTTCTGGAACAACACAATGCATGATCAGTAAGTGACTAAGGCCTGCCAAAAGTTATTTTGATTTACAAAATCTTGTGTAGTACTGATTTTGCTTGTCATTATTATCTTTTCCTACTCCACCCCTTCTTCTTCTTCCCTAGCCTGCAGAACAGGCGTGGTTTTTTGCATATTTTGGGTGAACAAAGATGAAAACAAGGCAAGCGAGGGGAAGAGCTCTTCACCTCGCGCACGACTCGCGCTTTGCACTCACCTTGTTTTCCCCTTTGTTCGCCTAAAATATGCAAAAAAATCACGCCTGTTCTGCAGGCTACTTCTTCCCTTGATTTCATTGATGCCCTGGTGATACTATAGCTTGTTTGATTTGTTTTGTTTGATTCAGCTCCCTGTAGCATGCAAATCATGTCCCTGTGGCCATGTTTTTATCAGCCGAAAACAGCATCATCAGGCGCAAGTCAAAAAAGAGGGTAACCACATTAATTTAATTTAGTTAAATTTCTTGGTTCATTTATTTCATTATCAAGTTTAAAGATTTGAATTAAATTTCTTGGATATATAAAGAAAAAACTATATGGAGTAATTTCAATTCAGTTTGAAAACCCACAAAATATGATTTGTTATATACCTTCTTCTCACTAAATTTCATGAGTGCTAAATTTCAGGATTTTCATGATTTTTAAAAAATCGTGAAATTTTATACTGGCAAAATAATGGACACGTGAAGATTAAAATCTCAAAATTTAACACCTATGTAATATCAATTAATAAATCTTCAAGCTGTTGTTTTATTACTGTTATTCCAACATGTCGGGGCTTCATGTTTGGGAGATTTTTGTTTGATTTTGTCCATCAGTTATCTTCCACTGCATCACTCTCACTGTCAGAACTGTTCTCTGCCGCTAAGTTCTTCAAATCTGGCTGGTGCAGTTGTCAGTCAAACTTTGTTACGTTTGCTATTGTTTACTATGATGATCATATTAATTATGTTGTTACAGTTCTGAGGGCAATTAAAGCTACATATTAAAGAATGGAAAAAAATTGAGGAAGTTAATACACTCCAATTCTAATTTCCTCTCAAAATCAAGAAATTTAATACTTGAAAAATATAGCGCTTGACTTTTTGCGAAATTAAATACTTGTGAAATTTAGTGAGAATAACGTAGAAGAAGTATTCTTGTTGGCCAATGCCAAATTAGCCAATGGCCAATGCTGAATTATTTGAAAGCAGATAATTAAAACTATTCCTTTTGCCTGGTTGCACAAAGACGAGCACTCAACTTGGCTTATGTAACAAGTGCAAAGAAGTTAGCAGGATCACTAGTTAGCATGCAACCTTTTGATATTTTGTTGAGAAGATGCAACAATTTATTTATCTTCTCCCTTACACTTATTTCTCTAAAACGGTATTAATAATGGTCTTGAAAAGGATATCATCAATATAGCACATCCAAGTGAAGGTTATCTTTGTGACACATAACATATTAATATTTATTATATGGCAATGAATTGTTTCCTGAGTGATCCAAATCTTGCAGCATGGACTGTGAAGATGGACCACTTTGACTTCTTTTTTTACAGGAGACAGTTTAAATGGTTCAGAGCGGGATAAAAGACTTCGTCCTGAGCGTCCAAAGAAAGAAAACCCAGATTTTGACTACGAATTCCCTGAAAACCTTGTTTGGGTCAATAAAGAGCAGATACCATTTCCTTTATCCAATC